CAACTGCTTCTTCTTTGCGGCCTGCTCCGCCTGTAAGGCCAGCTTCTTGGCCTGCTTCACTACCTCTCTCTTCTCCTTTTTGGCCCTCTGCTCGGCCAGAATCTTGGCGGCCTCCTCCTCCTGCTCCTTTGTGTAAGGAGTGGTCCCAGTACCACCCCTCGTCTCCACTCTACACGTGAACGTGTTCCAGAAGCCTAATGGAAACAGGAGACGCCAAAGGGTTCCCCAAAGGGAGAACCCCATGAGCAAGCCGTACGTAGGATAGCCATCCATGGTGATAGGTGCACAACAAGGGACTGTCCTACTCCTCACCACTTAGACCTACCCACTGACTAACGGACTGACTGTCTATGGATGAGAGAATCCCTTTGGGACCCTGTCAACTATGGTTTCTAGCCTAGACCTACTACTAAGCTGTCACTACAGGACTTCAACGCTGATCAGGAGGCATTTAAGTAGATCCCCCATAACTCCTGAGGAATTCTTTAACGTCGCAAACAGGACGACACGATCAGCAAGTCCTCTCAAGACTTTGAAAGGCCTTCCACGATTCAGACCCCAAGTTCGGGTCTGGCCAAGAAAGGCCGAGTTAGTCAATTTAAGAAAAGTCACAGTCGGGTACCTCAGCAGTCCAGTCCAGCAGGCACCCAGCAAACAGTCACAACTTAGGGGCAAGAATCATGTTTCATAATGAAAAATCATATTGAAGAGTCACATCCCACGAGTAGAAGGGCAGTTCCACAGGCAAGAGTCGTGTCCCAGAGGCAGAAGTCACAGTCCACAGTCAAAACCATATGCCAAAATCGAGAACTCATGACTCGAAGACCCAAGCAGCAGCAGACCAATGGAAATTCGGGAAGGTTCCAGGCCTTGACATTCGAAAGCAGACAGGCCATGGGGGTGTGGTACCGGAACCCGGTCAGGTCCCAAGAGGCAGAGTTCCCATCCATTGGCCTTTAGCTACCGCCTGATTCAGTCTTCGCCCTGTACATAGAGTCCACCCAGTCCTTCTAGCCCCGTAGATAGTGCGTCAGCCACTTGAATTACTGCATAGTCATATGTAGTGCTACCCTTTTCTGTCTCCTTCCGCTGTGTTACATGCTGCGCCTGCACACGAGGGCCATTTTCCAGGCCCTGTGTCATTCAGGCTAAAAGCCTGAATTTCAGGCCGAAAGCCTGAAATTTAGGGCCTACACTGCCCTACAGGCCCCGTGTCTGTTCAGCTCGTAAAGCTGGAAACAGGGGCCTACAGGCCCTGTGTCGTTTCAGACTAAAAATGGCATGAGCCTTTTTAGCCTGAAACTGAGGGCCATTTTCGGGCCCTCATCAGACCGACCTGCTCCGAAACTCAGGCACCAAACCAGGGTTTTAGGAACAGGCTATTTTTGGCCTGTTCCCACGACAGCCTCAGCATGGAGCTGCAGCGCCAGACCCTGGCCTAGTGTGGCATTGGCAAAAGCAGCCTCCTGGATTGCCCACCCTGCAACTGCAGGCAGGCGGAGGCAGTCAGGAGGCAGGCCGAGGTAGTACATAGGGACTTCCCATGCACTTCACGGGTAGGCAGGAGGCAGTCAGTAGTCTTCAGGATTCGGCMGCAGCACTCTGGAGGAGTGCTGCAGGAGTAGTGGTAGCGTTAGCAGTAGTCTTCAGCGCTGGGCGCTAGTAGCGTTAGGTGTAGTCTTCAGCGCTGGGCGCCATAGCTAGAGTAGTACTAGAGAGAGAGAGAGAGAGAGAGATTGGGCGGAGGCCAGGGATACTTACCTGCAGCACCGTTGCTCCAGCTTCGTCTTCGAGGTACCTGCATCACAGCGCCAACTTCACAGGTTAGTACCGGACTGAGAAAGAGAGAGAGAGAGTTCTTCTTCTTCCTCTTCTAAGTCCACCATCTCTTCTTCCCTTCTCACCACCTGACTTCAGGATTTGTATCTAAGTCTTCCCTGCGCTATTGTTGCATACTGTAACGGTGCAGACCAGAACAAGAACCGACCTCTCTCACAAAGTACAAGATAGCGCAGCGGAAAACTTAGATACCAATGATACGAACAATCAATATTGCAATGCAGCCCCGAACATACATCATCATCATCATCCCATGGTGTGAAGGGGTCTGGCGCTCACACAGGAAGAATGTGCCAGCCCCAACCATACACAGGTGAAGAAAAGAGGGGTTAGACGAAGAAGAGGGGAAGATGGGAATGTCGTCAACACCAAGTCTTCAGCACAGGCCCAAATAGTCCCTCGTCAAATGTCTGAATCCCAATGTCGAGTCTGGATCCAATGTCGTCAAGTCTCAAGTCACAACTCTCGCTCTCTGTAGTAGTCCGCTGATACTGAGAAGTCAGGTGGTGAGAAGGGAAGAAGAGATGGTGGACTTAGAAGAGGAAGAAGAAGAACTCTCTCTCTCTCTTTCTCAGTCCGGTACTAACCTGTGAAGTTGGCGCCTTGATGCAGGTACCTCGAAGATGGAGCTGGAGCTATGCCGCCACAGGTAAGTCTCACTGGCCTCCGCCAGCCATCTCTCCCCAATACTACTACTACCACCTACTAGCGCCCAGCGCTGAAGACTACTGCTATGGCTACTAGCGCCCAGCGTTGAAGACTACTGCTAGCGCTAAGCTACTCCTGCAGCGCTCCTCCTGAGTGCTGCGGCCGAATCCTGAAGACTACTCCTGCCTTCTGTCCAACTACCTACCCGTGAAGTGCATGGGAACTCCCTATGTACTTCTCGGCCTGCCTCCTGACTGCAGGGCGAGGCAGTCCAGGAGGCTGCTCTTGCCAATGC